CCCTCTGGAACGAACTACCCCCCGAGATCCGGACGATCCCGGATCTCCTAACCTTCCGCCGCGCCCTCAAGACATGGCTTTTTCAGCAAGCGGGACTGACCTAGGGTGAATTTTAAATAGGGAAAATTTTTAAAGATTTTAATAATGTCACAGCTATAAATATTTGGTTTTAATTGGTTTTTAAAGGGGAAATGTTTTTGTGTTGTTTTAATGTGCTGTGAGCCACCCTGAGTCCCGTGGGGAGAAGGGCGGCATACAAGTTAGTGTTAAATAAATAAAAAATAAAAAATCCCCCAAACTTCCACAGCAGAATAAAAGAAAGTATCTTCTATTTACTCAACACTAGCTTTGAATAGAAGCTAGTCACCTTAATTCAGATCTCTTCTGCCATTTTGTTATATAATGCTGATCGTTCATTTAATGGGAAAATAAAGTTGCCTATATTTTTTCATCATCTTTGAAATAGATGGTTTATAGTGCATAGTGCCCTCCCTTGAGCATCACAAACTATGAAACCAAGAGTATTAATATATGCATACTCTGTTGCTGGGGGTAAAATTGCTCTTCTGTACCATCCTGAAACTCTATGATTGAACCGGGCAGATCGAGCCATTTGTCCAAAATTTTTCCACATACTGTAGAGATCTCTCTTATTGAATCAGATTAGTGTTTGAAAAAAGATTTGTAGAGCAAGTTAAATTATAGGCCAGCAAGACTATATGCTGTTGTGTCTATAACTATTTACCCTTTCTGTAGCCTATACTTTTGTGATAGTTTAAAGATAGTTCGTTAAGAACAAAAAAACAAAAACAAATGTAGTGATGAAATATGAAATTTGTTTGAGCTATGAATTCAAATAAAATAATTGACAGTCTCTAATGTTAGCCTGACTCCTGACCATTACTCAAAACTCAAAAGGACAAACTGATGTACATTTATATATTTGCTTGTATACCCATACCTTATTAAAAAGATAAAGTCTTGCTTGTTAGTAATACTTATTAGTACTTAAAATATTATTTGGGAATATCACATTAGGTCAAAATTTCTTTTTTGTGCAAACAAATACAACATGCAGCATAAAGTTAAAGCTGAAATGACAATTAAAATATATGCTATGTCCTGTGGTAAAATGCATTTTGCATCATTTTGAATCTAAGAATAACATTCACATTTCAAGTAGGCTTCCTGTTATTCATAGGAAACTTAAAACATTTTCACAAGGTATTTTTACCAAATTTTTCATGTCAGTGAAATGGATGGATCTATTTATGGTAGATCCATTTTTTTTTTAGGATACAAATTTTGTTTTGAAATCTAATGAAAATTAGAGTGGTTAAACAACTGCTTTCAATGCTCATACTCTTTCCTCAAAATGGGGCAGAATATATGCCTTTTTGGGTTGTGAATATCCTTTATGTTGTGCATAGAAACAAAGCAGTTCCCTACAATGCTGCTACCTTCAACCCAAGATAGTACAGAAAACTTGTTGCAGATGCTATGCTTTCACACTCTGCTCTAATGAGTTATCTTAAGATGTTACTGTATATTCAAGTGTTCTCCACTCTAAAGTAAAAGTTGTCCAACCAATACAAATAAAAAACAAAATTAATAATACATGTTGGATAATAATACATATGGGGTTAGATATTGTTAGAAGTTGCTGGCACTAAAAAGAAAAGACCCATGTGAAAAGAAGGAATAATTCCTACCAGTATTATATGCATATGAAGTATTATACATGTCAGTGTCATCATCTACAAAAAGAAAGACAAATGTTATAGCAGTGAAATACCTGTCCATTTATTCACAGCAAGGCAGTTTTAAACTCTCTCCCTTGATAATTTTTTACTATTTGTGATGTTTATTTTCCAATTTATTCAGTGTAATATAGCACTAGACTTGTACTCGCTCAGAATTCAAATTAAGATGCCACAAATGAACTCTAACGAATATGCAGAAAGAAGCTTTAATTTCTTTCCATTATTGAAGCAGCTAAAGTGATTTGTTGCCTAGGTGAACAATAGCAATGGGAATCATGCTAGCATGCTAATTCGAAGGAATGCAAATGAAAATTTGCATTGTTGGGTCTCTTCAATACACTCATATTAAGCCCTTCACTCTCTTCTTTTTGAAAAGACCACTAAGTAGGGGTTTTTCTTTAACTGGAAAAAAAATAATGAACTGTGTTTAAGAGACTCACTGAACTGAACATGCAGTATATAAACATTACATGTCATGGGGTTTAGGTCTCTTTCAAATAATTTCTGCTGTCCAATCCAGGCACCAAAGGAGTGTTAGTAAGAGTCCCCATCTACTTGGTTATGCAATAGGAGAGGACCTAGTTGAAGGTATGAGAACTCCCTGTTATGGAACAGCCTGTTCCTAAGACAAGAATAGTCTTAACTCTTGTGGATTTCCAGAAACTGGCTCTTCCAGGGGCCCTTGAGAATTGCTTATTGTTCATTGGTGCCTATATTAATCCAGCTATAGAACAATTAGTTCTACACTCTTTTCAATGTTGTAAGACATCCAGAGTTGTGCAGGAGCAGGCAGCCATGGAAATGGAAATTATAATACTAATAATAAAATTAAAGGAGCAAACATAAATAAAAATGGAAAGTGCCTTTTGTGATTGTAGTTATTATTATCAATTATTATTACTGGGTATTAGTGTTTCTTTTTTTATGTTTTTATTACCTATAATAATCAGCCTAACGTTCCTCTGGACTGAGGTGGGATGAATCACATCAATAAATAAACAATAAAAGCATCTATAAAAAATTCTAATCTGTTAGCAAGTCTATAAATAAGGAAGCAAAAAGTAGAAATTATACATACCAGGCTTATGAACCATATGGATTTGCTTAAACATTGTCTTATACCAATCCTTTGGTCTGTCAACAGTCTAAAAAAAATAAATTTTAAACAATTAGCAGATAATCAGTACAAAAGCCAGACTAGTAACAAAGTAGGAAACCATTTATTTATTTAATTATTACACAGATTTATATAGCCTTCCAACTCACACATACTGTAGGTGACTCTGGGCAGCTTACAAAATTTTAAAAATCCACCATATAATAAACTCCCATAAAATATCTCACCCACCATGGCAGCAACAACACAGTCAAATCAGCCACTTTATCGACTTCATCTTCATTTTTTGTTCTCAGGCTGACAAAACCACATTTTGGGGGCATGTAAGAAAAGCAACACAGTAGGGGCCAACTATATCTTATGGGAAATGATGTTCCATAAAGAAGAGGCCACCACTGAGAAGGCCTTTTTTTTTTTGTCCCACCAGACATACATCCTAACTGATGGAATGTGTAACATTCCCTACCTTCCTATCCTGGTGGGCCAGGTGGATGTTGTCGGGGAGATGTGGTCCTTCAAATAGCCTGGCCCCAAGCCATGTAGGGCTTTAAAAGTGATAATCAGCACCCTGAATTGTAGCCAGAAGCAGATTGGCAGCCAGTGCAGCTCCCACAGAAGAGGTGACACACATGCAAGTCTAGGCTTGGGCTACTTCATTCTGAATTAATTGAAGCTTCCAAATACTCTTCAAGGTCAGCCCCATATAGAGTATATTACAATAGTCCAGACATGAGATGAGTGGGTGATTAATAAAACATTAGCAAAGTGGTTCATTTAACCTCTTGATGAGTCCCCGTAATAGTTGACATGTTTTGCTTGGTTTAGAGTTAAAATCTTGCAATATACTGATTATACACAAAATAAAAATATGGTGGGTTTTTCATATTTTCTAAATGGACAATTTTTTTCTACACAGGTGATTAAATTGTGAGTCAGTTCGTTAAAGTTATGGATATAAAAGTAATCCAAAGGATTGACCTAATATTTTTTATCCAGCTCCTCTCTACTGTGCTTTCTCAGTGAGAAAATTCCCAGGCAGGATTTTGGAAGTGGCAAGGCATATCATAATGCTAGGGAAAGACATTCCTCTACATTCCCAGAAAGACATCTTCTCATCTGCAAGGGATGTGGTGGCTCTGTAGTTAGAACGGAGGCTTGAGAATCAGCAAGACTGAGTTTGAGATCCAGGGATCTCTACATGGAGGGATGAGCTCCCACCATTTGCTCCAGCTCCTGCCCACCTAGAAGTTTGAAAGCATGTAAAAAGTGCAAGTAGATAAATAGGTGCCACTTTGATGGGAACCCACAGGGGACAGAAGAGGTGAGTCTCCATTGGGCGCCCCCCAGGCAAAGGTGACATCAGTAGCTAATCTTTATATGAAAAGTTCAAAAGGCCAATATTTTCTATACCTAGCTTGTTGGAATCTGTATTTTCCAAAACAGCTTCCAAGATATAATAGATAGTTTAATACTTTGTAGTATTTTCAGTGAGCAATTATTAACAAGTCAATAAGACAATTCTTACATTGGATTATTTTAAGTAGGACTTAATATAACTGCTAAAATTATCCAACCTATAATATTTTATTTCCATCCTCCAGAGACTAATAGGGTGTTGAGTTGCTGTAAGCTCTTGGAAAGTGATCAGAAATCCTAAATGGGTAGACATTATATCTTACAAAATTGTATTTCAAACCCTTGGCTGAAAGATACTTTTGTTCAGCAAATGGCACAAGATACAGTAGTCAACTTTGCTACAGTATTAAAACTTCCCTTTCTTGCAGCTGGCTTTTACTTGATGAAGCCAAAACTTTTAATGTCATACTTTATTGCAAAAGTCAACATGCTTAAAATGTTGGTTTCTTTTCATTCAGTGTTCTGTCTTTGGGCAAAGATACCAAAGAATAAATATGCAGAAGTGCACCGTATTATGTTTGTCCACATGAAATGAACAGATAAATTATTTTAGGCATTCAAATTATTGGAAGGTCTAGGCCAAGACTGTTGAGATCCTTTGAGCTTTGCTTTATCCACTAGTTCTACTTCGAAAAAAGCACGGGTACACCTCTAATTGTTAAAAACAGCAGATCAATAAGAAGTTGAAACAAATGCCATTATTTCAAATGTAGTAGGTTTAATTCTTAATTAACTATTTAGTACTCAGTGCTTATAGATTTTCTTATCACTGGTACTTCTAGTGATAGTGAGTCACATGCAATTGGGAGGAATCATGAGGCTATTTCAGTGCCAGACACCAATATGCTAAGTATCCTCAGATATAATTTTCTTTTATACCATGCCTGGAATCTGAGAATCGTGGAATGAATGAAGAAAGGCTACAGGTAAATCCTGGTTATCATTGTGGCAACTAGCGAAATCAATTTCCATGTCAATTAGGGCCGCTTTTAAAGTTACTTTTAAAATAGCAATGAGCACTTCGTCATCCTATGAGTCATCCAGGTACACTATAAGAATTGTTAAAAAGTATATTAATTTCCCAGCATAGGAGACTATTTATCATAACTGAGCTTGAACAGAGCACTTCATACATATTTAATGAAAGGCCACATAGAACAGAAAACACATTTGATTTTAAAATGATACACTTCTATTTTCTTCTATTTTTAAGTGCAATGGAACTGTCAGGTTTATTTAGATTGCAGCAGTTATCTATTACCTTAGTTATTTACTTATACATTTTATCAATCCACCTTTCTTCTACACGCTAGATTTGGAGATGTATATATTTCTCTAAAATAAATTTTAAAATGATAAATACATTAAACTTTGTTTAAGTTAGGTGACATATTTGCAAATATATGTAAATATCCACTGCAACTGAAACACTAGTGGTATTGTACATTCATTTTATCTGCATCTTGAGGTGAATTTGTGTGTATTACATTTTTAAAACAACTTTGTAAATAGATCAAAATTGTGCATGTAATATAATGCTCATCTGCAGCTGTACTGAGATATAAAAAAATCTACTTCCAAGCACACTTTCCCAAGAATAAGCTCTAGACTTCTGAACAAACTTATATAGAACTGAAGAGGGTATCATAAAATATCTATTCAATGGGCATATTTTTTTCAAAATGCTAACCAAAATGGGATATTATTACAAATGTTACACAACCAATAGAATTTGATTTGAAAGATTTTAATATATAGCTAGCTATGGGCCAAGTCCATTAGATGCAAATTGGAGGAATTTAAATCATCTGTCAATATAAATAGCCATTCTATGTAACCAAGCTGTGGCTTCAAAAAATCATAATAATCTCCTATATATCCTTAAAGAAGACATATTTAAGGGAAGCAAAGATCCATTTAATTGCCACCATTTTTAGTTTTTAAAAGGTATTTTATCTTACCTGATCAAAACTTCTCCATCAATTCCCCCCTCCCCTTTTGCCCGCCCCCAACTTAATCTCCACTGGAGCCATTGGCAGGCAAGCTACTCCCACTGCTTCCGTAGCACTGCGTTGCTCAAAGAGTCACCTGAAATCTGAAAGGCTTTGCTGCTTTCATTCCTGCTCCTCCTTGTTCTTTTATCCCTTTCGTTGAGGAGATTGGCAAACTGTTCTTTCTACCAGTTGCAGCAGCTACTGCTGCCGCCTGTCCCAGACAGAAAGGGTTGCTGGAGCAGCAGTGTGGAAAAAATGCTTCAGCCTAACTGAAAACAAAACACTTCACTGTGGCATCCTAAAAGCACTCAAGCACTAACTAGTGGCAAGCATTCAACATTGACCTGAAAATGTACTTTCCTCTCTGCTTCATTCCGTGTCAGCAAAGGAAAGAGCCCAGTTCCGTTCAGTGCTTCCCAGTACTACAGCTAAGTCAGAGACTGTTTAGTAGGAGGGTGTTTACATTCTTTCATTCGTTTTATTTCTGTTCACTCATAAATGCAAGGAATGATAGGATATGCCAGGGCATCTTGATAAAAGTGGCAGCAAATGCCAAACTTTGAACAAATTTTAAAGAAGATTGAAAAGATGGAGCAAACAATTTTTTTTCTAACAATGGTGTAGTGGAGATGACAAATAAATTAAAGCAAAGCTTTTCAGGTACCTGTCTCTTTCCCCACAGTGACTCTGATTGTGCATATTTTATTTCATGTTATATAAAGCCAGGAAGAATGTGAAAAAGCCATCATCAACAAGACATTCATTGTATGAAGTGCACACACACAAAAACACACACACATTTCCTACCGTTCTAATTGCTGTTGGAATTCCTGATTCATCAACTGGCCCAATTCCTGCATAATGTGGTGCTTTAATGACTGTGACTTTCTTTTCTTCCTCTGAAGTCCTACAGATCGGTATGGTGGTGGTGGTTGTGCTGCTGCTGCTGTCACCGCCACCAATAGAGTGTGCATGCTGTAGATACGTCTCTGCAGATTCTACAAAGATAACATATGGCTGTATAACTGTAGCACTGCCCTGCTTTGCCTGCATATTAAAAAATGCATTTTCACATGGCAACAGATACACATAGATGATCTTCTTTGTACTACTAGATGTAAAACAGAACTAGAACACAGCAGACCTTAGCTCCCCAGTCTTTCGCTTCAGATGCTGGAAGGCTTCTGTAAATCAGAGCAGATGATTTGGGCTGCAAATGTCAGGATGACCACCAGGTAGCAACAAAGAGATAATTTTGTGAGGCTACCTTGTGGCCAAACAGATTTTTGCAGCCTAAAACTGGTAACCTTAGGTTCACAATACCACTGGTTTATTTTATCATAAAACTCTGAATGATGCATAATTGGCTGAGTTATAATACATAAATTATTGTTTACAAACCATAATGATTAAACTAGCATAAATTCTGGACAGGTGGAAGTTTGAAAAGTAGGAAGGAGAAGACATTTTATAATTATAAAGTCCTAATAAAGACACATTACTTTGAACAGAAACCTCAACAGGCAGAACAGTTGCTGTAAGGGTTGTTGCAAATAGTTTAAATTTATTTATTTAATTACTTATTACATTATTGAAATTACACATCTCCCTCACAGAGGGAGGGAGTAAAGTAAGAAAAAATAACTCCCCCCTCTCTTTCCCTTTTGCTAATTTTTTAAAATACAAAATTAAATCTGAGTTAAGTCAGATATTTTCACAGAAAATTTTCAAAATTGCAGAATAGATTTAATCAAAGGCAATACAGATGAGAATGATTAAGACCAATCAACACAGAAACAGCCATGGCAGTATATTGTTAATGTTCAGATTTAATTGTACTACTCTTATACAATTTTTGAAATCTGAGTGTCTTATTAATGTATGGCAACCTCGGTCATAGTTCTAAAGAAAACCCAACCTATTTATCTGGTCTGAAGTATGTAATTTTTAATTAATGTTTATAGTCAAACTATTAAATTAATAGTAAGGCTATTAATATCTGACATCAGATCTTTTATTAAAATTTGCAATCTATAAATAAGATAGCTAGGAGCATATATGGTAAGGCGATTTAGATTAAGCATGCATAAAATATCTAGATATCTGGGCTTTTCTCCAAATATGCACAATACTAAATTTAGAGAGGAAAAAAAAGGAATGTGTTTCTATAGCCCAAGAATGGCAAAAAATTGTCTGCCTTCATCATAAGAGCTTAAGGCATAACCAGACATAACATCAAGTGTATAAGTTCAATTAATCTATAGGCTTTTAAAAATGTAAATATAATCTGCAGAAAGATAGAAAAGACATTTTCGGTAGCTGAGGGGAGAATTTTATCCTTTGCTTTACTGTAACTGTAGCAAACCCCCCCAAAACAAACAAACAAACAAACAAACAAACAAACCCTCAGAAAACCTGTCCATAATAGGAAGGTTATTTAGAAACCTTCCATTAAATCTGTACCATATTTTGACATATATCTCTAACTATGTATATTCAAAAGTTTCTTGCCATATTAAAGCTCTAAATTATAATGCATAAAAGGGAGGAGATTAAAAATACAAAAAAACAAAAACAAAACCAAAGGCATGAGGCTCTCAAATCAAACTTCATGAAGGTTTAGCAAGGTACAGTAGAATATTGATTTAGAGGATAAAAATTGACAATTGAGTGGAAAACAGCATGGACGGCAGCAGTTGGAGCAGAAAGAGACCAAGAGATATAAAAGAGGTGGTGGTGGGGGGATTTCTCTTTGGCCCTATTCTCATTTGTGCAGCCTCAGCACAAGCAAGCTTTCCTCACTTTTTTAAAATATTAAAATATCTTCTCCCTTCTTTGACTCAAATTGAAGGACAGAATCAAGATATATAAACCAGGTAAATTTTGTCACCAATTGCTTTGGAAAAAGGAGAGGTGAGTGACAATGACTGGGAGCAATGGCAGTAAGCAAGACTGGAACTGCCAGATTTTATGCTTGTTTGGTTTTCTGCTGACTTAGGGATGGGGGAGAGAACATTTTAATTTAGCAGAAATAAATGACCCCAAATATGAGTAAACTGGGCTGTTTTTAAATGTTCTCAGGAATGAAGGAACGTAAACGTTTATAAATAAACCTGACTTTTTGGTGAAAGTTGGACTGGATAACACCTAATAGTTTACAGATTTCCCAAATAGTAATAATTTTTAAAAAGGATTTTAAAAAGAGGAAAAAGGCCATGGCAGAGTCTGGGGATGGGATATAGCAATTGATGCAGGGAATATTAAAAGAAAACTTTATGGGACAGGATTCAATATAATGAAATAGCTAGAAATGCAAACATGCATAGTTCACATTACAATATTTTGTGGCATGGACTCAGTAGCTTTACTTAAACAATCTACAATAGGCTGCACTTGATTTAAGTTCAGCTTTATGAAGAAATATTTAATCCTATTGAAATATTTAATTTCAACAATTAAAAAACAACTATTGGGATAACAGTTGTCATAAATTCATATGGACCTATATAAGCTTAATTTACACTGTGATGGCATGAATACAGTATGATGTATTTAAAAGTTTCACACAAGCAGTATATTTCCACTCTCACTGACCAAACTTACATATTTTTAATTCCAAATGATCTAGATAGACTTTCTTTCCAGGAATTTTTGTAGCAAAATATGCTTGCTGCCACAAAAACCTGCTGTCGAATGTTATGTTGAGAAGGTTAGTATTCTCAAGTCATTTGGAAGCTAAGAAAAAAGTGGCAATGTGTGGGTTTTTTCTGCTACCATTATCAGTATTTGTGATGGCAAAATAACAGCAAGAGCTGGAACCTATTTTGAGAAAAGTGAACTATGAAGCACTCTGTGTGGTCGATTTCAGATATAATTTCTTTTTTTAAAAGTTTTTTATTTATAATACAGTTAAAACAAAGATGGACATAACGTAACATTCCAGAGTAAATATTCCTAACAATTTGTTCCTCTTCATACTTATAATTCTTAATCTCTCTATATACATATTTTTCTATACAATACAGTCTCTAATTTGTTTCTCTATATACTAACATACAATTATATATATTTCTATCTTAACACTAACTTAAAACCCGAACAGTTCTCCTTGACTCACACCAGTAATAAAATTTGTCCCAGATTTCAAAGTAGTCTGACTCTGTCTTGTCCTTCATTTCCATTGTGAGCCTATCCATATTAGCACACGATAAAATTTTATATAAAATCTCTTCTTCTGTTGGAATTTCTTTATTCCTCCAGTTTTGTGCATACGCCAATCTAGCAGCCGTGAGAATGTGCAACATCAAGTAAAATATCCCTTTGTTGTATTTCTGCATGGTTATGCCTAGTAAGAAGAGTTCTGGTTTTAACTCTATCATTAGTATTTCTTCCAGCCATTTTTTTATCTTGTTCCAAAAGTCACGTGCTTTTGAGCACTCCCACCACATATGGTAATATGTCCCTATTGCCAATTTACATTTCCAGCACGTGGAAGAAACATTTGGACCCATTTTAGCTAATCTTGTGGGTGGGAGATGCCATCTGTAGAACATTTTGTAGAGATTTTCTTTGTAGGAGGTGGCCAGAGTAAGCTTCCTATTTCTTACCCATAATTCTTGCCTATTAATCAGTGAACAATGCTTATGGATTTAAAGAAAGGTGTCATTTGCATGCCAAACTCACCCATTGTCCTGCTCTGTTGCAGGAGAGAGGAGCTTGAACTGAATGAGACTGGTGGAGAGTATGCCAAAGAAGGGGAGAAAGGCCTTTGAAAGTAACTCATTGGGCTGGTTGCCAAGTTAGAATTCCCATTCACTGTTATCTGAGCCTGAGAGGAAAGAAACAAAACAAAAACAAAATCCCAAAATCATATCCAATCATATGCAGTAAACCACGGAAGACTGAAATTCACCATCAATATAAAAGATGAAGGAAAGAATGGTAAAATTCATAACAGTAGCCAGCTTTCCAGTGTTTAGCTACAATCCATAATCATTCCTAGAATTATGAGGATATTAGTTTGTTATATTTGGAGACTTAATTTTATCAAAAGCTCATGATACCTTACATAGGAATTAGATTTCTCTTTGTTTTGTCCTAGAGCAAGAATTGTGCAAGAGTCTGGTCAGGGAGAGACCAATCAGCCCATGGTTTCTTAGTAAGTTTCTGTGGCTGAGAGCAGACTTGAACCTAGATCTTCTCAGTTTTAATACAACATCTTAATCACTGTATTATATTAAGTTTCACAAAGGCCTCAGTTAAAGTAGCATTTGAACAACTGCTTACAAAACGAAGAGGATAGTCAAAATTGCTCTCTCCATTCTCCTGAAGATCTAATTTTTGTTTTCCTTATACCTGACTCTTACTATTATTCACTTGGAATTCTCCAACCCAAAATACCCAAGAAAAATAACCAAATTTCCTTCAAGTAACAAAAATCAGTGATTATTGATATCAGTAAGCAATATGTAGATTTTTATAAGAATTTATACACTGCCTGTTGAATTCTGTCAATATTTCTTTTGAAAGAATACCACCATTTTAGATATGCTTCCATTTATTATGATTACACTGCTGCAACCTTTTCAACATTAATGGGTTGCTATTTTTTTTAAAAAATTGTAAGCTTGGGGCCTACAAATCCTTTTCAAAAACAGGAAGAACTGAAAGATTATTTTGAGTGATGTGTCATTTTGCTCTTCTCTATACTTATAACTGTGTGGATGGAACTGAACTTGTACAGTACTATGGCACATGATAAGGAGAAATTACAGTATGTACACAGGTATTTACATTTTCCAATGTAACTATACTGCACTGGAAGCAATTGCCTCTACTCTTAACTATTCTTGTAAATGATGGATGTTATTCTACAAACACGGGCTAACCTAAACGTTTTCAGGGATCCATATCAGATTATGGTCTTTGGTTGATATTGCTTTAATTTTTGACGGGTCATTTAAAATTTAAACTGCTGTCATTTTGTAATAATTTGTTTTATTATGTAGAATAAAAGTCATTGTCAAAAATAGGATGTTGGCCATAATATCTTTCTGTTTTGTGTATTATTATAATAAATTTATTTGCCGCATTGCAATATAAAAAAACAGGCACAGCTTTGATCAAACCAGCATATTGACTTTTTCACCTTACCCTGCACACATTCCTATGTAGACACTAATTTATGCCAACCACACAGCTGTCATCTATAAAATACAGAGAATGCCCGCAAGTTATAGGAATAAATGAATCCTATGCTCAAATTGTTGTTTTAACCTGGGCACAAATTTTATTTACTCATTTATTGGATATATGTCTCCTCTTTCTCTCAATTTGATGATAGGATAAATGTGTTTATCACCCATTTAGGGTTTTCTGCTTTTATGTAAAATTTGGAGTTTTAGTCTGTTGTTTTCCTTTATTTTTAAATATATAATAAAAAAACTCACATGCACTGCAGAAATTGAAATGTAAAATTATACTTGATTTCTCTCTGTCTCTTTCTCTCTCTCTGACACACACATATGCGCACACACAAGCACACATACAAAGGGCAATGTTAGTTTAGGGGCAAAATTTGACTTAGAATCAATTTTATGCAGTCAATGTTTATAAATAATCACTATCAAAATTGTGTTACATGTGTGCTCTTCAAATATTTTAAATTACATTGTAGGGGCATATTCAGATTTCTTACTTTTTTCTCATTTGTTTGCAACTTGCCTAAAGATTCTGTGCATATACACTGGCATCATACTGTAGTCTTGCTTATATTCTAAATATTATTCCTCTTTAATATGAGGGACTGAAGAATTATAACCAGTAGATTTATTCAGGATAGTTGAAGCAATTGGAACAAAGATGTGTTGCAGTGAAAAAACTGACACCCAAATGTTGACAGCAATGACAAACTTCTCATGCTCATTCCACGCAGACCCCACTTGGCAAGAGGCCCAATTGATATTCCCACCTCCCCTTTCTTGCATCACCTATTGCTCCTTCTAGCCAAAGCCAATCTTCCAAACACTAATGCTCTGAAGGAGGAGGCAAGCCAAATTGGTCATTTTTGTACCTTAACCTGGTAAGGAAGAAAGTTGGATGTGGGAGGGAGTGAGGAGCCAAGGTACCAAGGTTTTTGGATTGGGATGAGGAATCCAGAAGGAGTGGGATGTGGCAGAAGTTCCCACCAATAGAAAACTAACCCCCACAACTCAAAACTGTAATTGCAGTATTTTTCTGAATCAGGTTCCAAGCAGATTAATTTTGGAACCTAATCAGCTCAGATTTATAAGACAATAAAATTACAAACCGAAAATGTTTGTGCTTTAAACTTCCATCACATTTCTGTTACAATCAAAATTTAATCTTTGCAAACTGAAATTGGAGTTAGATAACACACCAGTGACACAAGGTAAGTTTATGCATTTACCAGGTAGAAAAAGGCATTTGAATAGCTTTTGCACCAGTTAGCACTCCCCAGAGCCCACAAAGTGGACAAAACTGTTGTTTTTGTCTTTCTTTGCCCTGAGATATTTGGAAGTTTGAGGGGCCAAATTGATGCCTTAAACTTTAATCCTTTAGTCTTACCTCCAAATAGAATGCTTTTCTCCACTAAAGGCAAAACAATGCCTTATTGCTCTTTCACACCTCCCTCAACCTCAACACACAAAAAATCCTGTTGAACACTTCAGCATCATCCAGTTTGGACTGCATCACTGGCCTTCCCCTTGCAGGTCCTCAATCAAGACACAAGTGCAACCTCCTAGTTCTAATTGATGAGTAAAGAAACAACTGTTTTTTATTTCACTGATATTGTAAAAATTACCATTTTCAAATATTGGAATTATGTTCCTCCCACCGTATTCCTTATTGCTTGGAAAAAGCTCAAAATCTTTACAGCTCAAGATACCACCTGCATGCCAATTAATTAAATGAGGTGACAGACCAAAACTAGCTTCTTTTCCACCTTGACAGCATGGTTGAACAGAATGGAAGAGAAAAGAGGAAGGATAATTACATGAGAGCTGGCAGCAGTGGAGGTTAAGGTGGTGCCATCAGACGCAGCAGACGTCTGGCTCAAGGTTGGGGAAGGTGTTTCAGAACAGTCAGTAGTATCATAGTTACAGCTCTGTAGCTCATCTAGCATGGCAGCGGAGAACTCGCTCATTGGCTGAGAGGAGAACTCACTCATGGCTGACACAATAGAGTCAGTTTCAGTCTTGTGGAGCAGAGTGTCAGGTACAAGGAAGGGGTATGGATAGGAGAACAGTGAAAGGGCTGGGGTTCTATAAATGGGTGACGGCCAGAAATCATCAGATGGTGGTAAAGGAAATGACGTTGCATGGGTGCCACTGTCAGGTGAGAGAGAGGGTTGGTGAACCGGAACCCTGGGAAGAGGAGGAGGAGGAGGAGGTGGTGGTGGTGGTGAGGGAGGCAACGGTGCAGCTTCAGCTGACGTTTGTCTGTGTGTCTGGGAAGCATTTACCTCCATCACATTGGCAGTCACTTTCTGGTTTCCAAGCTGAATTTTGAGAAAAAAACAAACAATCAAAACATAAGAAAACATATTACTAAAATTGATTTTAAAAAGTGCTTTCCTTTAGTTGTGCTCAAGAGTATACAAAAAGGAAAAAAAAGACACACACTCTGTGTGTGGCTTTTTCCAAGCTTTGAAAATAAAAATCAGGTAGAAAAGAAAATAAAGTTTATTTTAGAAGGAAAACATACTAAGTGAATTTGTCAAGCAGTAACAGAAGCAACGCCAGAAACTACAGTGTACTGAATAAACATTTATATTCATTTCCTAGGCTTAAATTGTTTGAGGTTTTATTTAAATTAAGTTTGATTAAGCTTAATTTATCACTAAAATTAGAGGGACTTTTTAAAAAACACATAATTGCACCTCCTTTTTAATAGAAATAAACTAAACAGGCCCCAGTTCCTAAAGGACTCCTGTACAATGGTTTCAGTGTATGAAAGCACTGGATTGTACATTATGAGTGTACAAATTACACGCCATTTTTACAGACTCAATGGCAAAAAGGACCATGATACTCATCCCTTTCATGTATAGAAGTTTATGCCATGAAGAAGAAATGAGATTGTGCCACTGATTGTGCTCTCCTGACATTTGAATCTGGATAAATGAGAGAGAGAAAAAGAAAAGCATGTGCACATATGTAGGTTTCTCCTCTTCAAATTCCATCTTAATAACTGGATGAGGGCGGTGGAAGCAAGAAAAAAAGGCTGCTTGTAACACCAGGGGCAAAATGAAGTCCCCTGATTTCATTCCTCCTTCATCTCGTGTAATGTTTCCACTAAGTAATCAGCAAAGAGGAATGGGTTTACTGCTTATTTAGTCTATGTGGAAGGAGACAACATGGAACAAGCTGTTTCCACTAGCTGAAAGTTTTCACATAGACATCTTTCCCATTTTAAAATATAAATCACTTGGAAGTATATAAATTTCCAAGAGCAAAAGCTCCAATCCTAAATTTCATGCTAAACTCCTATTTTTGAAAGAGCTTAAGACTGCTGAAGTCTATATGGCTTGACTCAAAATCAACTTATATTGGATAGATGTGCATGTAATATTATACACATGAAAGAAAAAGCTATATAAGTACATAAGAGAAAAATATTTGTGTAAAAGTAATATGGTCATTAGTAATTGCTCTAATAAACAATTATTAGAAAAGGGATCTAATTTCTACATGAAGAGATTCCATCTTTCTAAAGGAAATGATTCTTTGGGAAGGAGATGGAAAATAGGGACAAGAGACCTTTTACTTTGTCTTCTTCTCTGAAGAAATTGCTGGGGAGGATCTA